AAAAAAAAAAAAAAAAAAAAAAAAAAAACAATCTACCTATGAAGTTTTGATCCATACCTTGCAAGCAGTGATGTTGGCTTCTTTATCTTGCCAACAACCCCCATTATTGTCCAAGCACTCGTTTGTTTCCACATCTGCCAATAATTATTCCCAAGTCACAATCTGATGTCACAAATAAACAACTGGAAAGTGATTGGCTAAGCTACTACAGAGAACCATCATGACAAGGCAGTATTCTGGGGATGCTGAAACTAGCTCACTCAGACTTCAGCATGTTGCATTAGTGGCACTTCAGTGACAAAAATTCTCATGCCCTCATCTGCTAGAAGCTCAGATTCTGGCTCCTCACTCTAGTCTGACACTATTCAATTTCAGTGATAAAAAGTTTAGCAAGAGAAACCTACCACCACTTAAACAGACAGCTGGTTCAGTAGTCTCCTCAAAACCAGAACAGATGGCCTTTAGAACGGCACCTTTGGCCAACTTCCCTGTATGAGCATATTTCAGAAAGGAGAACACGTCCAAAACTTTATGAGTAATACAGGCACGAAGACTTACCTCGATATTGCCGATTATTAACAACAAGGGTAGGCAATATGGTTACATCACCCCTTGATCCTTTCCCAATCTACAGAAAATGATTTCAAACATTTTTACATGATCAAGAACTAAACTAACATGTCAACTAAAACATATAGAAAAGAGAGAGTTACTTGGGCATCTTGCTCTTCTTTGAGAACAGGATTATCAGCATCAGCATTAGGGTCACCTATACACTTCTCAATCTCTTTACCATCCAATCCTAAGCACATGCAACAAGTACATCAACAAACATTCATCATCACTATGTTGGTAAAGTTTTCCCTTTACAAGAGGTATTAAAGGCTATTATTGGAGATCCAGTTGACTTACTGTAAAATACTTACCAAGAGATTTGATAACAGTTTCAGCACATTCCTTATTATATTTTTTCTCCTTCATAGGACATCTTATTTGAAAATCTGTTACATAGTCCCACCATGCCCAAGGCTTTTTGCTCTCATTTGCTACTCTGAAAACACATAGTTGCCTTAAGTTCTCCATAACCACATCTTTACCATCATAACCAGAGCTGAAATCCTGCTCAGGATCTGGAGCACAATATCTTCCATGGTTGATGCACTGGGATTTACATTGCTTGCTTTGGGTGAACGCCTGTGGACAATACCAAGTTATATAATGGGGTGTGAACTGAGTATAACCACCTTTCTCCAGTATCTGTGCAGGACCCTTGAAATCTTTCACAAATTCCATCAACATATCACACTTTATTCCACATTCATCATTGCTATTGGTCCATAATTCATACTCCACACGATCATCAGGGTGTGGAACAGCCTCTCTCCAATCAAGGTTCACATTGACCATATCTTCACCATTAACTGCTTTCTTTAGTGTTTCACCAAAACTTTTTTCAATAAGTGCCGATGGAATTGTTATATTCTCAATGTATTTTGCAGATGCATGATCCTCCCCAGGTGTATCCATGGTTATTAATGATTCTTCCATATCATCAGCAACAAGCACTGCAGAAGCACCAGCCTTCTGTGCATTCCAAACCTTCAAAGCAAAGTAGCAATCTGCAAAGGAGTATACAGCACTAAATATTCGCTTGTAGTATAAAATAATATTGGGCACTCAGCAGAAACTATAAGAGTAGAACTTTGAGGACAATAAACAATTATTTCAATCTTGATCTATTTATTAGAAAGAAAAAAAAAAATCTTCTCTGGAAAAAAAAGGCACCATAAAAATCAAAATGATCACAAGTCTTTTGTAAAGGATAAAAAACTTAAAAATTAAGATGACAAATAAATCAATACTGAAGGAAGAGCCCCAAGTTAATCATATTGCCGTTTGCCAAAAAAAAAAAAAAAAACCACACATGCACAAATCCAGCATTTTATTTTCTATAAAATGATACAAAGTCATTATTAAGACCATCAGTTCAAAATTTTATCATTCACTGGTCTATAGATGGCTACTAAATTTTTATAAAATGGGAGATCAAATCAATATCCTAATATCTTATTAAACTTCAACTATATCCCTCCCTTTTGGAATTTGATAGAAAAAAATGATCAGTAAACAGTGTATATATTTAGCTTAAGGGAGTAGTATTGAAAAAGATTAGGAGTATTCTAAAGTTAGCATAAAAAATATGGTATCAGTTTTGGTTTCATTAAACAAGTGTGCTTCTTGTGCAGAAGGGTGTAATACTCTCCATGAATCTCCCTCTCTTTCTCATTTGAGGAAAGACCAAAGAACTAAGCAAAAAATATTACTTCTATTTCCCCACCCTAAACTACCATAAAGAAGAAACACTACACAAAACACAATTAAGAATCATATATAAGAATTGCCAAAATCTGGCAGGTTTTCCAGAAAAAGATAGTCATGACTCACAAGCCAAAATCTCATAAATTCCTGTTAATGGAAACTTCAGCATACAAGACATCTTTTAGAAGCAGTGGGATTTCATAAACAGTCATGTAGTTGAACAAATGAATGGAGTACCAACAAATTCTTTACCAATTACAATTATGGAAATGGACTCCTCTCAATCAACAAAGAAAACCCAACTCAAATTTCATGTCCAAGGAAATGGCAAATTAATACTTTGGCTACATAACACTACCTCCTTTAGAAACTTAAGGCTAAACCCACATGAAAGAAGCCTTTTGTCCAGTGGCAAAATACAGCAATTTAATTCAGTGTAATGTTCATGGATATTTTGATGATTCCTATGTGCTATAACTAACTTCTGTTATGTTCTATATATTAAACTTTACTTGGCTCTAATTGGTTTCTTAAGTCTTTCTTTTTATAATCCTTAGGCAATCTGCAGGGTTTTATTTCTAAATGATATGATTTGAGAAATCCTATAATACTTAATATCCAAGGATATCCATTTGTACTTGCAAAATCATCAGAGGTGACAGACATTTCTGAGAAACTTGAATTAAAAACATCAGACCATATTAAAAACCTAAAATCAGACCCAAGAAGAAATACTATATTGGGGACTCCTAAATTAGCCAAAAGGAAGCAACTTTTAGCTGAAATGTAATCACACATCACACAAATAAGCACAGCAGCTATAAATACTAAAAGGGTACCTCCACGATCGACCAAGACGAAAGTGGGGAGAGCTCCAGGCTTGGACTGAAACGAAATCCCAAACTCATTAAATTCCTTACAGCCCTTCTGGTTCCTATTCGGATACACCACAACACCAGCCATGCTACCCCCATACTGAGGTATCCCAAAGTTGCCAATGGCACTATCGTGGGTCCCCTTAATCTTCTCCGGCGACGTCACCGTCAAGCTGTTCTTCTCCACCACGAATCTCGCAACAGACACCTGCACCACATTTAAGAACAGAAACCCTAAAAGCAGTGACCTTCGCAACTTCATCTAGTTATACGCTTTCTACCGATTCTGGGTTTTCTCCGATGAGCTCAACGAAGCCGACGGTCCACAACCATGCAAATTCACACTTCCGGTTGCAGTAATTTGGATTGTGATTGATGGGTGATTGTGGGAAAACGAAGAAATTAATGAAGTATCCCAAGTTCCAAACAAATGGGTATGTTGGGTAATGTTTGAAATTGACGATGGAAATTGAAAATTGCGTGTGAAGATTGAATTGATTGAAAATTTGCAGTTTCGTGGGAAGAAGGCTGTGATTCTTCTGAGAGACTCACTCTCTTTATCTTCCAACAGGCCCCTGGAACGACGTTGCCGAAATTAAGCATCAACTTCTTTAATTTAATTTACTAATTTAATATACCAAGGGGTTGATAATGGTATTTATTATTACTTTTTTACTACGAGTTTGGCTCACTTTTATCTTAAGGATAAATGTTAAATTTTATTAATTATAAAATTTGTAATTAATTTTATACAAAATTTTATTTTAAATTTATATTGTTTTATAATTTTTAAGTATAAATATTATATTATATTTTTATTTT